CAGACTGTGAGGCCCAGGCCTTGCTCATGTCCCATCTCAGCCAGCCCCAATCGGCTGCTGCACACATGTTCCATAAACGGGAATCATTAACCGGGAGGCCCATAAACACCCTCTCCTGACAATGCCGTGTGCGCGTGCCGGATATGTGGCAATCTCTCAGTCAAGCCCCCGAGTCCAGACACAAAACAGCCATCTCTGTGTGGGCATACCTGTGTGCCCTGAAAAGAAGCTTCCAGAAGCGAGGTGTCAGTTTCCCCAGCTACCTGTGCCAACTCTGCTTCCCTTCACTCCCCGAAAAGATGGCTGATTGGTTCAGAATAATTAGCAGAGACACTTCACCTTCTCCACAAGGATGTCTGAAACTCGTGATCCCCTCTGCATTCAAGACACACAGGGCGGTGGGTTCAGGGAGAGTGGCGACTGTCCTGGTTGGACAGAATGGAGGCCCTTCTATGGCAAGCTCCTGCAAATACATTAGGCAAAGGGAGCTTGATATCCTGGAGCCATCAAAAGCAAGCAATATTGCTCCTTACTCCGGCATCCATGGAGACCCAAAGCTTTCATGCACTAGACTTATGCTAAGTTGGGAGGGGCACTGGGACAGCAATGGGGCTGGGTGTCTTAGGTTTACAGGAGGTAGAACTTCAGCGAACCCCAGTGCAACCATGTGGACTGGAGCGTTCCAAAAAAAGGGGACCAGATGTGTTCGGCAAGTGATTCCCTGGGCAGAATTACAGCAGCAGCAGACCTTGGGAGGAGATAGGGGCATCTCTAGCATCAGTTTCTCCATTTGCAAAATGGACATAAAGACAGAAGTGCAGCAGTTGGGAGAAGGCCACTGTCTTCACTGGGGCTACACACAGAGCGAGAGGTCACCCTGGCCAGCTTCGGATGACACCATTGCCCTCTATCAAGGGAACAGGAAGGATGGGGGGGCACTGGAAGATCAGAGGCTTGGAAAGAGGAAGAGAAAAGGAGATGGGGTGAGGAGAAGGCGGAACAGGGAGGAGTGACTGGGCCAGCTGGGAGATGAAGAGGAGGCAGCAGCCTGCAGGCCAGAGGATTCCGTTGGGTGCTTAGAGGGTGCTTAGAGTTTCTGATGGGGGTGGCAGGAGTGGGGTGGGGGGAGGAGGCAGTGCCGGTTCCCTGGCTATGGCATGTTTAAGGATCCTCCTATCCTGTCACTCATGCAGCCTTTGTTGTATTACCATGGGAACATGGCAGGACCCAGGTCTGGTGGCTGTCCTCCCAGAGGGCAGTGTTGGGTTAAGGAGGCACACCAGACTTCAGAGAATTTCAGGACTGGAGGGGACACTTGGTTCTTTCTTTCCTGACACCCCTTACAGCTCCAGCCTCCCAACCAAGCAAATACACTCCTCTGCTTTAGGGTTTTGTCCCAACAGAACACCCTTTTCTCAATTCTTGTTCCTGTTGTTGTTTTGATTGTGGGTTTCTCAGAGCCCTGGCTGACCTTGAACTTGCTACTTAAGAGAGGGTGCCTGTGAATTCCTGATCCTCCCACCTCCGCCTCCCAAATGCTGAGATTAAAGGTGTGCACCACCATACCCAATTTCTTCTTGAGCATTTTAGTTTTTGTTTTGTTTCACTATTTTTTTTTTATGGGCGAGAAAGACGATGCGTGTAGCCTCTACCATTAGAGAAACAGGAATGCGGTGGTAAGGCCCTCTTCCTACTAGTTAGTCAGGGATGGAGCCATGACAGCCAGTGACAGACACACTGCAGAGCCAGTTCTCTGCGGACTGGGACAGGCTGGTTAAGAGAGACTAGAGAGTAGCCCACAGCAAGCTCTGCCGGAGCCAATCCCAGAGCTCTGCCCACAGAGTTCTATAGCACCTCCCTAGTTTTCCCTGGACGCTGCACCAACAGTCTCTGTGGGCTACCAGGAGCCCCACCCTTCTGCTCCATCCTTGCCTGCCTACCTTTCAGAAAACCACCTTGTCTGTCAGCGACCCAAAGAAGACTGAGTGTCTCTCGGGAGATGAGATGCGCCTCACACGTCCTCTTTCAGATCCCCGATTCTCTGGCCAGAGGACAGCCGCCTCTGACTTTCAGGCGGAGCCCTTCTTGGGCAATTCTGGCATTATTTCCTGGTCTCCCCTCTGCTCCTTTGCATTGCAAGCTGCCTCTCCGAAGAATGCCACTCTTCCGGAACCCTATTAGTTAGCTTTCGGTCTACCTTGTTGTCTCAGCCATGTGGGAATGGAGGGATGGTAAGGAGGGAGCAGATGGGAATTTGCCCCTTCCGGGCTTCTCCAACCTGCCATATCCTGACAGCTCTAGAGTGTGTTTATTCTCCTGGCCACACCACTGTCCTAAACTCTCGGCTTTCTGCTTACATTATCATTCCGTTAAGCCACAGACCCCCTTAGGAGAAAACAGAAGAGTTCTCCAGGAGAACAAAGGAAGTCAGGGCTGTTCAGAGCGTGTTTATGGAGGCCTTTCGTGAACTTTACAAACCCAGTACTAAACAAGTGTGAACGGATTTTTCAAGGAAGAAACATGCTTTTGCAATTTGCTGGAAGTTTCCCCTCATGTTCCAGAAAAGCAGCCTCCCCATTACTCACCAGGGAGGCATGCAGGCCAGAGAGGAAGGAGAATTGGGGAATGAAAACAGGCTTTCCCCTTGCCCGCGTTAAACAGCACTTAATAATCAAATTGAAAAAACACACAAACGAAACGAAGACGTTTTTCCAAATGGGCTGCAGCCCCGAGGCCAGACTTCATGGGGCCTCGGCGGGAAGAATTTGTGTCTTTGCCCTAATTGGGCTCCAGGCAGAGCGGCTGATGGGAGGGCCAGACGCTGGTGTCAATAGAATAGGACCGAGAGAGCCCCTTGAGGTGTCCCATCCTCTCCCTCAGGTGTCACCATCTCCTGGACTTCTCTTATGGTATATAAAGCTTCTCGGATCTCTTCCGTGGGAAAGAGAGCCCCCACTTGACCCCAATCTACACTCATTAACTCACTCATGTGGTCATCCCTTCAGTGAAGCCCGTCTCCAATTACGCCAGCTATCTCTGCTCCAGTATCAAAGCAAAAAGGAGAAATTTAAAAAGCCAAGAACTTCTCTTTACCCCACTTCCCTGAGGGTGGGTGGCCCTAGGTCTCTGCTCCTGGTCCAGTAATTTGTACTCGCTGTACGCAGTCACCCCCTTCTCAATCTCTCCCACACTCCATCCAGTCTGGTTCAATAACTACCGAGGTCAGGATCAGCCATTTCTCCTTGTGAGTACTCCTTGGTCTGGAGCCTCATTAGCGCACAGTCTCGGGGGATCCCGTTTTGTCAAAGGAAGTCAAGAACAAGACACACGCACTTCCAGTGGGAGGTGGGCCTTCCTTCATCCTGGACAGCCCTTCACAACCTCCTTGGCTGTTCCTTCTTCTCCTGACCTCTTGCCTCAGAGTGGCCTGGCTCTCACCCTTTGGGTCTTTTCTTTATACTCCTTCCCTTGATGATCTCACCCTGTCTAATGGCTTTGAGATCATCTAATGTGGTGAAGACTTCAAAGTTTTTATGACTTTTCCTAGCTTGTCCCCGGAATTGCAGGCTTGCCTAGCCCGTTTCCTGCTCGGCATCTCCACACCCAGCAAATAGTTATTCCAAACTTAAGATGTTAAAAGTGACCAAGTCCCAAGTCCCTACAGGGGCTTTCAAGATGCCGTGTTTTCTACCTTCCCCCAATCCTTCCGCTCTCCTCCAGCCACACTAGCCACCGTATGACTCCTGCCAAAGGCCAGGCAGGGTCCTTCTCTGGGGACTTCATATCTATTCGTGCCTCTCTCCATGTGTTGTCTCCCTGATGGCTGCACAGACGCGGTAAGATGCGATGCTTTCACGGAGCCAGTCAAAAGTGGTTGTGACATTCAGTCTTATTTAAAAATAAATAATTTAAATATCTTTTTAAAATAAGTTATTTAAAACTTACTTTTTATGTGAAAAGAATGTTGACTCTGTGTTTGTGTGTGTGTTTGTGTGTGTCTGTATTGCGTGAAAGAGCACATGTATATGTGAAATCTAGGTGTATGGTGAACGCACACACATGTGTGACCTGGATATGGGACCTGATATAAACACATGGCCAGAGCAGGACATCAGGAACTTTTTCTGCCACTCTCCGCCTCATCTCCTCTAGACAGTCTCTTTGAATCGAGTTCACCTTTTCATTCAGCTTGCAGGCCAGAAGCTCTTGGGATCTGCCTGCTCCCCTCCCTAATGCTGGGGTCATGCCCTGCTTTAAATGTGGTGCTGAGGATTTGAACTCAGATCCTCATGCTTGCAGAGCAAGTACTTTTACCCACTGAGCCATCTGGCCAGTTCCAACATTGACTTTATTTTCTTCTTATTTTCAGGACAGGGTTTCTCTGTGTAGCTTTGGAGCCTGACCTGGAACTAGCTCTGCAGACCAGGCTGGTCTTGTCTCTGCCTCCCAAGTGCTAGAATTTAAGGTATGCGCCACCACCACCACCCTGCTCCAACACTGACTTTTTAAAAGAGATCATTCTAGTTGGCTTGTAGAATGTCCATCTCATGGTTCCACTGATGTCATTTAACTTATTCCTTTACTCATGTTGTACTGTAAAGGGGCCTCTTTTCTGTCTTCCTCACAGCTCCAGGGACGACTTCCTGTGGCCTGTGCTCTCCTCTGTTTAGCGCCTGTGGCTGTTCACTCTTGCTTGCTCATGCAGCACCTAAGAAACCATGGTCCCCCATGTCGCCAACCCATCCGTGCACACCCATTATTTCCATGTTTTCTTTTACCTTCTTTCTGTCTTGACTTGCATAGCTCAAAATATCCACCAGAATCTCATTATTCCCTCCTCCTCCTCCTTTTTCCATTCGTTCTCCTTCTTCATTTCCCCATCTTCCCTACTCTCTTTCTAGAAGCAAGTGTACCAGGCTTTAAAAAGGAGTCAAAACCAAGACAAAGCCACTTCCTGCCCTCATGAGACTTACCATCATCACAGAGAGACCAGAGGACAAATGGGCTCATGTACACAAGGCCGCTGGTTGCCTTGTGGGATAATTAAGTGGATAGAGAAGCCCTTATTACATCTGACCAATTTTGTCCTCAAGAAAACTCAAGGAGATGGTCTCATTAAGCTTTATGAAAACTTCATCAGTGAGTTTGAGCACAGGGTAAACTCTTTGTCCCTGGTAGAAATAATTCTTCATGTGATTAGACAGATGACCGATCCTAATGTGGTTCTTACTTTCCTGGAAAAGACTCGTGAGAAGGTTAAAAGTAGTGATGAAGCAGCGATCCTGTGTAAAACAGCTCTCGGAGCTCTGAAACTAAACGTTGGGGATCTACAGGCTACAAAGGAGACCATTGAAGATGTTGAAGAGATGCTCAACAATCTCCCTGGGGTGACATCAGTTCACAGTCGTTTCTATGACCTCTCCAGTAAATACTATCAAACAATCGGAAACCACGCGTCCTACTATAAAGATGCTCTACAGTTTCTGGGCTGTGTCGACATCAAGGATCTGCCAGTGTCAGAGCAGCAGGAGAGAGCCTTCACGTTGGGGCTTGCTAGACCTTGGAGAGGGAGTTTTTAACTTTGGAGAGCTTCTCACGCACCCTGTGCTGGAGTCACTGAGGAGCACTGACCGGCAGTGGCTAATCGACACTCTGTATGCTTTCAATAGTGGTGATGTAGATAGGTTCCAGACCCTGAAGTCTGCCTGGGGCCAGCAGCCTGATTTAGCAGCCAACGAGGCCCAGCTTCTGAGGAAGATCCAGTTGTTGTGCCTTATGGAGATGACTTTCACACGACCTGCCAACCACAGACAACTAACTTTTGAAGAAATTGCCAAACGTGCCAAAATCGCTGTGAACAAGGTGGAGTTGCTGGTGATGAAGGCGCTCTCCATTGGGCTGGTGAGAGGCAGTATAGACGAGGTGGACAAGCGGGTTCATATGACCTGGGTGCAGCCCCACGTGCTGGATTTGCAGCAGATCAAGGGGATGAAGGACCTTCTGGAGCTGTGGTGCACGGACGTGAAGAGCATGGAGATGCTGGTGGAACACCAGGCTCAGGACATCCTCACCTAGTGACCCAGTGCTCCGCAGGCCCTGCCTCACCTTGCAAGGCATTTCTGTGGTCCCTGAAACCATCAGCAGAGATCTGTATTGAATTGGCATGGAGTTTGGGATCCTGCTAGGAGTCGGAACTGTTCTTGCTGTTAAAACAGAGATCTTTCATTGATGGGGCTTTGTTTACTTGGAGAAGGCTCTGGTGTGGGGTGTTTTGTAACCTGCAAGGGGTGGGAGGGGGAGCTCAGGCCTAGATGATGAGGAAGGGCAGGAGTGGGAATGGAGACAGAGTAGTCTCCACCCAAATCCACTTGAGTGGACCTTTTCCAGCGAGGTCTGAGAATGCTCCTATAATAAATGCCTTTGCTTTGTTTAAAAAAAAAGAAAAAGAAAAAAAGAAAGAGAGAGAGAGAGAGAGAGAGAGAGAGAGAGAGAGAGAGAGAGAGAGAGAAAACTCAGGATGCCACAAGGAAAACAAACCTGGGGAAGGAAGAGGTGCACAGCCAGGTGGGAAGCAGGTGAGAGGGAAGAGTGCCAACCCAAGCGAACAAGCTGCCATTGTCTTCTCTCCAAACCTCCTCCAGTTTTTAACACACACACACACACACACACCCCGCCGTCGTTTGAGGTTCTCGGGCAGCCTCCATGCAGGGCCCTGCAATCCTGAACGACACCCGGGACTCAATCCCATCTCCTCCACTAATCTTTGTGAGAAGATGGGTTTTTCCTCCCCTCCGTGAGTGGGAACCTCCTCCCGCTCAAAGACTAAAGGAAAGGAAGCTGTCCGCGCTCCTCAGATTGTTTGATGCTTCACACGGGAGGGGAGAACGCAGGCCAGGGGCATCACTAAGACTGGGAAGATCCCTCGATGGTTTTCAAGCAGGCGGTCCAGTCCCAGAACAAACTTCCATCTCAATGCTTTATTCCTCTTCCTCAGGGTGCAGAGATTCGAGTGCCCCCTGACCTCCATCTGGTTGGGACACAGATCCTGACTCAGATAGTTGGGCTGAGGGTAGAAAGGGCAGGAGAGAAGATTGAAAACTCCACGGGCAGTGAAGGAGCTGATCAAGGATGTGAGACAAAATACAAAAGGTTGAATAAAAATGTATCTACCTTGGCGAGTGAAAAACTTAAAGCAATTCAAAACAAAATAAAACAAGACAAAAAAAAACCCAATGACTTAAATTATCTGCAAAGAAGGGAGCTAGCTATTTCTAACACCTTTTCAAAATAAAAGCCCAGGGTGGGAAGTGTTTGGGGTGAGAAGCATTTTGGGGTAGCACCTTCCTGAGTATGCTCAGCCTAAGGTCCTGGCTAAAGAAGGAAAGCCAGAACATCGATTTGAGGGCAAGTTTAACTCTGGGTCATGGGGCATTTGTTCCAGAGGTTAAGATGGCAGGCTGGGATGCTAGTGGGCAAGCTCAATTTGCGTCATAAAGATGGCAGACAGGGCCACCACCTTTGGGCATACTGAGCTTCACCATAAATTCTGAGCTGGAAACGTGAGAAACTCTTTGAGAACGTCACTGAGATGAGCCTGTACCTGGCCCTAAGTTACTCAACCGTGCCTTTCTTGGCGACTCCATTTTGAAAATGCAGAGACAGGCTGATTCTGCCCCCCGGGTGGGCAAATAAACGTCACACCCATCAAGCATAGACTGGCAAACACTATGTTGATGAAAGTAAAAAGGGTGTCACCCTATAAACTTCTCTGGGACCATATGAGCACACGGAGTATTAAAATACTATCAGCAAAACCAGACCCCAAAAGTTACTGAACAGACCAGACTGGGGGAAGGAGCAACACTCTCATCTGGACCCCAGAAAGAGGAGGACGCCTAACACTGACAGTGACAGCTGAGCTGTCACCTGACCACTGGTGTGTGTGTCTAGAACTGATGAGCAGAAAGCTCCCAACTGTCGCAGGTTCTTCTGCTGAGTTAGGTCCCCACTGTTGATACGGTCTACTCAAACTGCTGATTTTGTAGCACACACATACACACATACACGCAGAGAAACCCTGTCCACACACACATATACACATACACATGGACCCTATACACACACACACACACACACACACACACACACACAGAGAGACAGATAGAGAAAATTACTGTGTGATGTATAACATGTGATCTCAGAGCTAACAGTGGTTAAGACTGGAATAAAAGAACCCGGGCTCAGAACTGGAGAGGCAAATCAGCAGTTAAGCGCCCTCGTTGCTCTTGCAGAGGACTCACGGTTCAATTACTAAAACCTACATAGTGGCTCTTAACTCCAGAGGATCTGACGCCCTCTTCTGAACTCGGTAGGTGCCATGCGTGCATCTGACACGCATACAGGCAAAACATTTATACACAGGAAACAAATAAATCTAAATACATTTTAAAAAAATAACCCTGGCTTGAAAGGACTTATGGACTCACAGCAGCTGTAGTTGCCTCCACATGACCCACACCAATTCAGTGAGCGATCCAGCATGGATGGGGGCGGGACTTAAGAGTCCCCACCCCTTGCTGCGAAGCTATTGGCTGCTGGGAGGAAACAGCGTTTTCTTCAAGGGTGTGGTTCCTGGTGGGTTGACCAGCTCTAGTAGATAGCCCCACACCTTTGCCTACATGGACAGCACTAATTAAACTCAGGGGGTCATGAAATGAAGTTAGGGGAACACGGAAGAGGGTAGAATCCAAGAAAGGGGAGGGAAGGGGAGGGATGAAAAGGATCAAAAGACTGTGCGTATATGAAATTCTCAAGGAATAGGTAAAAAATAAATTCAATTTAAAAAAAGAACTTGTGCTTGCCCATGGCCAACTATCAAGGGACAGCTTAGCAAATTGTCGCCAACAAAAATGACTTAGCTTCTGAGTCTATTGTTACTCAATATATCCTGACATTGTGGGAGGATACGAATGTGTATGCCTATGTTTCCGACATACTAGGCTCACGTGTCCCTGAAAAATCATAGGAGTTTAACCCTGAGGATGCTTGACTTGCTTAGCGGCTGACAGACACGAAGAAGAGCTTATTGGGCGCTCTGTGCTGGCCGACTGATGCTCTAGGTTAGCCCCAGCATTTTAGAGGCTTTTATGAGATGGGATGAGTCAGGCTTCCAGCTCCTTGGCACAGCAGTCTCTGGCGCCGAGCCTTTCTGGGAACTGCGGAAGCACAACGTGCTTATGCTTCCCTGGTCAAGGGAGAGCGCTGTCCCCCTTCAGATAGGAGCAGGAACCTGGATTCCTCTAGTGGGGAGAATAAGAGGCTAAAGTTGTAAACAAATGGATAGCCGGAGGAACGCTGTGCATTGTGGGTGTCGGGTGCATTGTCATCTGAGAGATGCTTTCTCCTTCCTAGACCCGGGATCAGAGGCAAGGAAAGCACCAAGAGCTCACTAAGGTATTTTCGAGGGAAAGAGGAGCAGAGTCCAGAACAATGAGAAAAAGAGAGCAGAGGGAGCTAAGAAACCCTTAAGTTTCCCGAGCCTGTAATCACCATCAGAGGTCCTCCCTGCAGCAAAGTGGCAGTCTAGGAACGCTGAAGGCTTTGGAGGCTGAAGCACAGCGCTTATGCTAAGTGACATCCACCCAGCTCCCAGGTCCTTAGTTTTAGGCCCAGTAGGAAGCTCTGAGTCTGCCCAGTTGCAGGTATAAACGAAAGTTCAGCCAGCTTGAGGGCCCACAGGGCTCTGTCAATAGATTAGTCCAAAGGGGTAGTGGTTCTGAGTGTTTAACTGTGGTGAGTCACTGCCGTAGTGACCCCAAGGATAAAGGACCTTGTGGCAGTCAGAACACGCTTCTAAGACCATCTGTTTGCTGACAGAAACTAAAAGTCAACAATAATTGAGAATACTCTGGGTCCTTAAAGAGGCTGTGCCTGAAGAACACAGTTCGTGAAGTATTTGTACTCAATTATTTATGGAGTGCTGAGTGGGCAGGCATGCACTTGGAAGGGAAGGTGAGCCAAGTGGGGTCTCGTCTCACTAATAAGCCTGTCCTAATAAGATGAAGAAACAAAGTAGTAACAACTTAAGGAAGAGAGAACCACAGGAAAGTGCAGCAAGGGGGCTGAGGGCCGGCAGAGGAGGATGTAGCTTGCGGAGTCAGTCAGGAAATGGACTTTTGACATGAACCTTGATAGAGCTTTTCAGAAGAAGGGATGGAAGATGCCTCTGAGCTAACACTCGATTCAGAAGAAAAATATAAAAAATGAGGAGGGCAGTGTTGTCTTAGGGTTTCTATTGCTGCAATGAAACACCATGGTCCAAGTAACTTGGGGAGGAAAGAGTTTATTTGGCTTACTCTTCCGTATCACTGTTCATCATCAAAGGAAGTCAGAATAGAAACTCAAACAGGGCAGGAACTTGGAAGCAGGAACTGATGCAGAGGCCATGCAGGGGAGCTGCTTAGTGGCTTGCTTTCCTTGGCTCGCTCAACCTACTTTCTTATAGAATCTAGGACCACCAGCCCAGAAATGGAACCACTCGCAATGGGCTGAGCCCTCCCCCTCAATCACGTACTAAGAGAATGCCCTACAGGCATGCTTGCAGCCTGATCTTATGGAGGCATTTTCTTAATTGGGGTTCCCTCCTCTCTGATGGCCTTAGCTGTATCAAGGTATCATAAACCTCTCCAGCACACACGCCAATATGGCTCTGCAGGAAAAGCGCTTGCCACCTAGCCTAACGATCTGAGTTCAATCCCAGGTGCCCACACGATGGAAGAAGAGAACCAGCACCGGTATCGCTTGTATCTTTCACACTCATGTGCCATGCACATACATAACTAATATCTTTTTCAATGCACAGAAAACAATGGTGAAGGCCTTTGCAATACTTCCACGGCTTCATCTCTTTTACTCAGTGCCGTTACTGTAACCACACACTGTCTGTGTAGAGTATGACAATTCTGAGTAAACCCAAAGACCGAAGGCTAGTTGAGCCAGCAGGTTTGTTTTCCTTTGAGATAAACTCTTCAGAAAAGACACTTCCATCAAGGAGCAGGCCACTATCAATCTGCGTAGGAAGTGTGGGCCAC